GCAGTTACTGTTCAGTCCTTTGCTTCCCATTAGTCACATCTTGGAAATACAGTCAATACCTTCCCCATTTGTGCCTGGGCAAAGGGTTTCTCCTTTTAGACACACACACCCCACCTACCTTGTACCATCTCACTGATTGCTGCTATAAACAAGTCAAGGCTCTAGAAATGCTGACTCACAGTGCTAAGACTATGGAAAATATTTAGAGTTGCTAAAGAAGCAAAGCCCAGCAGGTTTCCTGCCCTTCTTCCTTATCTGCAAGCCCCTTGCCACAACAGGCTGTAATGAAGGACCTTGCTTCCTGAGAGGAGGCAAAGAGTAGGTACTTGCTTCCTAAAGATATCCTAGATTCCTTTGAATTCCCAGTTGCTAGCTAGTAATTGCAGACAGGGGAAGACAACCCCCAGTGCTTACAACCGCAGGGCTACAGATGTTGAGAGATTAATGGCTCCTGGGTAGGTTTTCTTGCCCACTGCAGCATTGCTCACTTCAGTGCACTTCCTGGGACAGAGTGAAGTTCCTCTAAAATGCCTCAATATCTTCTATGGAGGGCGGTTCCTTAGCTATGGACTTACTGCACAGCCAAGTCAGTGCAGACAGGCAAATCACTATTTGCTTTGGGAGGGTTGACACCAGTAAAGACACGGGCAAGCAGCACTGGGTGCAAATTCTGGTTCCCTGTGGGCAAGTCAGTGCAGGCAGGGATGGGACTGGTGCTCACGCTGGACCGGGGGCCGTGGACAGCAGTGTGGGGAGAGCAGCACTATCCCGATGGGAGCCAGTCTGGGTGCATTCTGCCTGTGTTAGCACAGTGCTGTGCCCAAACTAATCAGCCCTGGATTTTATCCAAACTACAAGCTGAGCGCCTACCACATCAACAGCCTGTTTTTCCCCACTGGGAAATGACCTCCTGTTGCAAAAGGCAGAGCATTTAAGGAAACAGCAAAGTTTTATAGGCACACGGTTCACGTGGCAAATAACTTGAGAAAGCGTCAGGAGCACGGAGCATTTGTGACTGGCTGGGATGGGCAGGTTGCAGTGGGACTGCCTCCTCCTCCTCCTCCCCTTACCTACGCAGCTCATTTGCAGCAGAGGCTGATGAGCTATGTTTACAAGCTGGGCAGGGCAGACCAGAGAGCAGCTCTCACTGAAGGGAAGGAGCAGGCAGTGGTGAGAGCTGTATTGCAGTGCTCAGAAATGACTGTGCTAAATGGTCATGGTGGTGGCATTGAGCTGATTTTACCTATAACCTATTCTAACTGCAGTCTGCAATCAACACGGCCTGTGGCTTCTAAATGCACTAGAATCACATAAGTAGGGATGCAGAGCTTCCTTTTTTATTGGCAGCTGATTTTCAGCTGCACATCATATGAGATCCTTAGCAAGCTGATCATGTGCATAACTCTCTCTATAGCTGTCAATATGGAGATGCATTTGGCTGAAGGCTCCCTTTTCTGAGGCAACAGGAGCCATTTTACACAGGTGGGGACAGAGGCTGGCCCTACAAGGCTCTCATGGTAGTTTAAGAGAACAGTAACTATGGTACTTTTGCCCTCAAAGCAAACCTGAGGTCGTGTCAGTCCTTCTTCTCCAGTAACTGCTATGACAGTGAAGGTGCTCAGTGTGAAGATGGCCCTGTATGAAGAATAGATTGGATCATAAAAGCAGAACAACTGCTTAAGCAGAATGCAAGGAATAGAAGCAATGATGTTGCTGGGCAGAGAAAAGCATTGCAAGAGCTCACAGATAGCCTCCTTTCTCCAAAGGCACATGCGCACTGCTCTCACTCAGTCACATTTCTCTCAAGCTTCCTGGTAGCAGCATCAGCAAGTGTGTTCTGTCACATCTGACTGGCTACAGGACTCTGTCCTCACCTGACAGTAATGACCTGGCCTTGATTTTTCACATTCTTGTTGCTTCCTTCCCCTCTTTCAGCACCATAAAAGCACGAGGCATGAAACCTGCAGCACAAAGGAAATTCTCACTAGCACAGCCTGCTGCAGTACACTTACCTCAGCAGCACAGGGGCTGCAGGCATGGCAAACCTCACATAACCTACATTAGATTCCTGCAACGTTCCAAATCAGGCACTTAACTCCCAGACTTGGCTGAGACTCATCTCCATGGCCAGACTTAGTATACACAACAGAGACTAAAACTCTGAGGATCATGACGAACAGCTTTGCTCCTTTGGTAAAATTTAATGCTCTACAAAAACAGACAGTTCAACCCCACAAAAACAGTCTATTTTTGGCCCAAGAACAAATACTGAAATCCCCCTAGAATGAAGGGCCATCCAGATTTCTCCACATGCAAATGCACTGTAAAAGATCAACTCTCTGGTTGAATGGCTACGGCAAAACACGCTTGCCATTGCCATGGCCTGGCCTCTGATCTGCCACTGGCCAGAGGTGATGTCATGGGCTGTGTTCACTGTCTGGAAATGAGGAGCAAGAAACACGCTGTGCTGGCTCACCAGCCAGTCCAGTGACACATCCTGACACAGGCCACAAGGAGACAGGAACAGACTGATAACTCTTAAACATCATGGAAACAAAACCCAGGGAGAAGTTGTTTGTGTACAAGCACACTAACTTGGCCAGTGGCAGCGGGTCTAACCACACCTTTAACGCTTTAGTCAATCTCTCCACTGCACCTCCTTAGTCCTTTCTTACCCCTTCTCTCTCTTTCCTCAAAGCTACTTAGCTAATTAAACTGCTGCTGTCCCTGCTTTGTTTACCCCAGTTCTACCTGCACTGAACAGCAGCAAGAGTGCTCTCCCCCTGATGTCACCACCACTTTTGAGAAAAAAAGCTGACCTGCAAGCTATTTTTAACCACATTGTAAAGTTGTGAAGCTATTTTGGTCACATCTCTGTATGAAAGGTGCAGGATGCTGACAGGCTCTGTGTTTGCCTAGGGGCAACAGGGGCTTTAACTGGAATGGCTTGTGACTTTGCATTAAGGCTTCTCTGCCCTGCCCATGCCATAGGACTCTTTACACCAAGATTTGATTTCTCTTCCTTTTAGGAAAGAGTAATACACCTTCCTGAATTCTGCTGGATACCAGAGGCTCTTTAAAGGCCTCTGCAGAAGGTGCTGTTTATTCTGTTGGCTCCCTCACTCCCATTTGCCTCACTCCCTAGGAGGAGGCAGGTGCAATTATGAGTTCACAAAAACACCGGATAAGATTTTATCAATCTTCCTTTGCATCAGAACTTTGTAAAAGATCAATAAACATTAGTATAGTGCCTGCTGAGAAGTCGGGTGCACATATCTCTGTGGGAGTAAAAGGAAGAGCAGAAAGGAACCATTTGCATAGCAACATGTTGTTCTGAATACAGAGTAATGCCTGGGAGCTCTGGGGTACATCCAGGGCATCGGGCAGAAGGTGCCTGGTCTAGACAGTTGTTTTCTCTGGAGTGCCCAAGGGTTGGTTGCCAAGTTTGCTGGGGTTCTGTAGCAGGTGCAAAGCGCAGGCAGAGTAGAAGCCAAAGCAACTGGATTTAACAGAATTAAGCCCAGAGATACAAAAAGAAGCTTGAAGGATATGAAATACAAGGTAAATGATAGGAGAGAAAAGAAAATACTGAAACTGGTGTATTTAGGACAGATGAGTCAGATCTATAAAGAAGGAATAAGTATGAAAGTTTTTTAACAGCTGTCAGCCAATCCACCCCAGAAAAGTCCCCTTAGGACTACTGCTGTCTGCAGCTACAGTGCATGTTTTCCCAAGACCCTTCAGGCAGTGGTATTAACAGCTGTGCACCTATTTCATTTGGAACAAGCCCCTGATGCAACAAGAAGAATCATAATTTCATCAAGTCAGGCTTCAGAGTCTCTCTCATATATTTTTCCCCCCAGCTTTCTTCTAAAGGTGGTTCTTTAACAGTTCTTACACCAAAACCTACATCCCGCTTCTAAGGTGAGACACTTCTTATTTCACTGATGCAACTTGCACCTGCTTTCATGAGTCAGCATAAGCCACATATCTCCTCCATAGCAGGATCAGTGCCTGCTAACAGGATGGACTGTCCCAGGCAAACACTGGTGACCTGTTGTAAACAGAGATTTGATTTGCAGAGCATCTCTGTATTTCCCTGTATTTCATCTCTGTGTTTCAGCAGAAGGAGCTGCTTCAACTCATTTGGTCCCAGGCAAGCATTAATCTGTGTTATATACTTTACAATCTTCATGCCAGGGAAATCAGCTGACCATTAACTAATATTTTATGACATGAAAATTAAAACTAGCTTAGTAAGAATTTAACTTTTTAGTCAATAGGTGGAAACACCACGGACAGAAAGTATTGTTTAATATGTTGTTATTTTAGCAGGACAGAATGGAACTGTCGCAGTTCAGATCAGACACAGAGACATGTCCAGCAGCAATATGTCAAGACCTGTTGGATCAAAAAGCTCAATGAAGTGCTCTGTGTTTCAGCTTCCCCCAGAGCCACGAACAACACTAGCAGCAAGCATTACATGGTGAAAATGTTTTGGTCAGATGAAATAACAAAGCAACATGTTGCATTATTTCCCCGCTGAGCTTCAGCAGCCTTTCTTTGGGACGCTGCACAAGCACGATAACAAACACAGCACGACAAGAGTGGCTGACAGATAACCTGTTGGCTCCTGCATGGTGGACCCGTGTTCCTGCTAGCAGAGCTTTGCCAGTGTAGGGAGTAACCACTTCACCTTTCATCACCTCTCTAGATTCTTAGTTTTCAGCCACTTTCACACAATTTATCTTACTGTGAGAGCATTACTGGAATCACCGGTCTTCACCAATTATTTAATGAAGACATTCTATCACCATCTCCACAACGTAGATGTTTTACTAGTAAATATAAAGAAACTGATTTATTTTAATATGCCTACACCTGTTCTATTTTCCAGTATGGAAACATCAGGCTTACAGTAACAAATCACAGGCAGCTCACCCCATAGACGTAGTCAGGGTTCGTCCACCAATTGTGTGGTTCCTGACAAGCGCACGCACCACGCTGGAGCTGACAACTGCAATTGTTCCCAATCTCCTCTAGGGAGTGCAGTCGGAAAGGAAGAGACGGAACTGCAGCGCACATGCCAGCTGGGAATCGGTGACTCAGGATATTCAGTCATAAATGGTGTCCGTCCCTTTCCAGCTGAACGCAGGGAGCAGCAATGAGGTTTGAGCTTGACGTAAGAGCAGGATTCTACTCGAACCCGAGGTATGCCTTAGTATGTGAAAGACAGGTCTGCCAAGATACTAAAATTCAAGATGTAAATCAAGGATGTAAATGTAAATAGGGCTTCAAATACTGGATCAATCGTTGAAGCCAACGCCCCCACAGCTGAATGGAGCATGGGCAGCACTTGGGGCTTCCATCTCTTTCACCCAAGTATATCACGATGCACATCCATCAGATCATCCAGGGAAGGCATGCTCAGTCTCAAAACATCATCTAGGCCTTGGTCTCTGTGCAAAGAACATCAGAGACGTTAATTCTAGAACTAGATGTATTTTGAGTGTATGTGCACAGTGTACTAGAAACTGGGCAGAGCCATCAACTTATTTCACCCTGGATTCATGAAACAGCCAAGCAAATAGTATCTGGCTGATCTCCATGGTAAGGAATCATGGATGAAAAGGTATAAGGTGGCCTATTTTCTCCTTACAAATCACATGCGTGCCTTGATTCTATGACTTTCTACACCTTCTTTAAAGAAGGACCAGAACATAAAATGAACATAAAACCGGATCTTTGCCCACTTCCCCCACCCCAAAAAAATAATAATAATAATCCATGTTCCCAGTCTCAAGAAAAAAAATATTAAGGAATGCAGAAGTCATAATATCATCTACCTAAGGCAAAAGTAAGAGAACAAATTTGCCAGGTAAGAGTTTGGACAGAAAAGCAGGTCTGCAGGAGGGACCTACCTACATTCAGAGAGGTGCCACGGTTGATCCACAGCAGAGGATACAGTGACTTCTGCAAAGTTACTGATACTTTGTGACAAAGCAGGTCTGTGGAACCAGTGAAGAGCTGCAGCTTTGAGGACAGTGGGGTTGGGAAACCAAGAGACAATAACCACTGCTGCTTATGGACAAAGCTGCCAGGCTGACACAGACAACTTGCCACATACAGAAATCACCTACAGCAAAACAGGAACAGACATTCACATATCCTAAGGACAGCAACCAGACCAGCAGCCAGGGACTTCACTTTCAGCCAGGCATTTAAGTGGCAGCAGATACCTGTGGGACAAAGCCAGTCTTGTGATTTTTAGAGACTAAAAGTTCCCTCAGTAGCAGGTGAGAAGACAAGAGCTTCTGTTTCTAGATGTGGGCTCTGCAATTAAACTGCCAACAGCTGGCTCAGTTTAGAATGAGCAGCATTGCTTGTATCTGCTAGTGTGTGACAACCCAGGGGAAGGAGGTACAGGCACTGAGCACAAGCTTCATGTTTACTCAGCAAGCACCAGCTGAAGAGAACCATCTGATTTCTGAACTCCCGTTGCCTCCCACTTTTTCTCTCATCATCACACTACATATCTAAGCCACATATAAGATATCACAAACTAATTTGCTCATACACTCCCTTTATTACAGCCCCTGTTGCTCTTTGTTCACCTGTCTCCCTCAAGCAGCATACCAGAAGCCCCCCCGTACTGACACAGGAGGAACAGAAAGAGCAAAAGCCTGTAGAAACTGATAAATAAAAAAGAACCATCAGCTCTTTCTTGCCCTTGCAAATGACAGAGCATCTTCTTCCTGACCTGTCCCATTCACTCTTAAATTTTCCCACCAGCATTAATTTCTATTGCTGCCTTGAGTTACAGGTATTTTTTTAGTAGAAGCAAGGTAAGGCAGGCTTAGCATCAAGAGACCCTCAGAAATCTGTAAGAATATTTTTGGTGAGGGCATAATTGATTTCTAGGGGGATGTTTATGATGTATGCATTATCACACTCTCAGAACTTAATTCTCCACCTATTTAGGATTCCCACACTGGATTTTACAACCTGCCTTCACATATGAGATGTTGAAGCTTTCAATGAGGTCACGCCAGACACTGACAAGCACTGATGGGTGAGTCATGCTGCAGTAGCCAGAGATACTAGCAACAGATTTGTTAATCTGTATGCAGTCTAACCCTTTTTCTGGTCTAGGATCTTATTCAAGGGTGAAATACAATGTCTCAGAGATAGGTGACTGCAGAATTGCTGAAGAGCAAGGCCACATTTTCACAACTATTTTACAGATTATAATAAGAATCGGTTCCTGGGAGCATGTTTACAACAATGTAAAATGTTGGTTTAGCTATAAAATCTATAAAACAGGAGATCAAGATCCAGATGGGGTTAACAGTGTTCACTGCAGATCACTGGAAAAGCCACCATGCTAATATGGAATCTAAGTTCCACCTGCTCTTGCTCCAGCAGTTCCAATCATCATCTCCAGCAAACTGTTCTTCCAGAAGCTACATCCCTGTACCAGGGAGAGCAGGTGTAAATACACACCCATACACCAGCCAGTCTAGGACAAAGGCCAGTGCAGTCACAGCACTGTTAGGCTTGGGTCTGAGCTAAGACATCCAGCCCTAACCCAGCAGGGTCAGGCAGAGAGCAAACTCTCTTCTGCTGGCTCTGCTGTGGGGGGAAACCTGTGGAGAAGGATTAGACCAGACCATTTCCTGATCTGCCACAAGAAAATTCTCCATGGAAGCTTTGGAAGTGTGGCAAGGACACAGAAAACCATGGAACAAGTGAGATATGGGGACTGAGCGGATGACAGAAGAAAAAAGTTCCATCATCTTGGCTAAACTACTGGACAGTCAGAGAAAGAACCAATAATAAAGGGAAGAAGCAAAGTAAGTCTAAAAGAAATTCTGCAGACAGACAACAAAGAAATGAGGTGCTGTTGTATTTTCATTGCTGCAAAGCTAAATTAAGCTTCCTAAGTCAAGCAGAGAAAAAAGTGTTTTAGACTCCTATTCAGAAAACAGCATGAGCAGCAATTGCCAGTGGACAACTAACAAAAGGTGTCTTCTCTCAGAGAAAGAAAGCCACCAGCAGATTGCATAATTGTAATGAGTTTCCTCCCAGTTTCACATTATTAGTCACCTTTCACCCTTCTCTGCCAAAGGCCTCTTCTTACCCATCCAAGGACCAGAGCCAAGGCACAAGCCTTTCCTGTGCTACTTCTTTCCATCAGCCACTCTTCAAGGTCAAGGCCTTCACAATACTGATCACTGTGCCCATTCCAGGCATTCTGAACCAATGCCAGAGTAAAACCCCCTTCAGCTCTGCCATTGGGAAAAGATTCGAGACACCTGAATAGACCCTCCTTATACTCATTTGTCATGGCCTGGAAAAGCAGTTAGTTCTGAAATTGTGCAAGTATTTCAAAGCAAAACCATTGCAAAGAGCCTTCACCAGCAGAAGACATCCTACCTGGAGTCCCTTGGAAACCTGTTTGACTCAGGTGGAAATGACCTACTGGCATTTATTTGTAATTGCCCAGCATGGCAGTGGCTGAGGAAGGAAAAGCTATTGAGTCACACTGCAAGCCACTTTTCCACTTCTGTCTGGTTGCCCAGAGGGTAGAGTGGGACAGTCAGAAGGCTGAGATTTTGTTTGTGTCTCTGAAACTGATTTTCCATATGACCTTGCATGTACTTCTTGTGCCACCATTTTCCCATTCCTTAATAGCTAAAACCACTCGACTCACAGGTCAATCAGAAGTGCCCAGCAAGGAGCATGTTTGTTCATCTAATAAAAGGTAAGAGAAGAGTGAAGTGGTATTATTGTTGTCATACAATACAAAAGCAGTTACGTAATAACATCAGTATTGCTTCATTTTTGTCATTACAACACAAACTGTCAGAGGGACACTTCCTGAACATGGTATCTTCATCCCAGTGGATGTACCCAAGTGTTTACTTCATTGATACAAAACCAGATTACAACAATCTGGAAGACTCTGCCTCGTTTATTTTGACCATCTAGAACATGTTTTTCCTGTATAACCTCATAACCCATAATAATGGCCCAAACTGCACTACAGGAATGATGGCAGGTTTCATGAGCTAGTAAAAGGAGAACAATTCCTCACTTGTGCATTGCACAACTGCTCACACACTAAAGCACACGAGTGCTTCTCTTATTTGTGAGCAAACAACAACCTGAAAGTTAGTTTCTAAACCTGCACATCATACACACACAGAATACTTTTTAAAAAATCTCAGTGCCAAGAAAGAATTAAAAGAACTGCCTAATTTGGCTAAATTACATTCTGCTTGTCTGATGACAAATTTCCCCGAAAAAAGCTGTTCATAACTGTTCTATAATTAATAAACAAATTTCTTTGCTTCAAGTTCTGTGACTTATTCTAAAATTTAAAATCCTTTGCTTAAAAATGGCCAGATTCAAGCAGCATGTGGACTGAAGGCTGAGGAAGGCATGGCTGTGATTACAGCAGCTGAAACCGTGCCCTAATCACACTCTTATCTTTCTTATCTACTGCGAGTATTTATAAAGCAATGATTACTGTACTAGGCCACATCACTGCTCTGAGTTTGTTCTGAACCAGCACCTTTGTGTTGCTGTAAGAAGTTCACACTGCTAGAGCTGGTGTCATTTTGCTGAGACAGAAAGCCAAGCTTCTCATCACTTAAAGTCATTAAAAAAAAATAAACTATGACACCTCTAAAGGAGTAGGGGTGTTAACCCCAATGTCCTGGCCGAACTCCCAGCTCGAGTAATTACAACGTGCCTTGAATAAATTCTTGCCACAGTTTCCTTTGGACACAGTATTGTTCTCTACTTCCTCTCCTACAATATTATGGAGTGCTGATGCATGCTCTTAAAGGTCCTGTCCGTGCTGGAATGTCATACAGGTCTACCCCAGGACCAGCTCTGCAGCAGCACATTGGGAACAATGTGTTGAAACCAGTTCTGCCTGTCAGCTGAACCGCTAGGCAATTTGTAATATTTATTTATTGATGTTCTGGCACCTCCTCCAGATGGAATTAACTTTGAGTATGGCTAACTGATAGATAGACTGGTGCGAATCCCAGATACAGACATACTCTTTTATGTAATAAAGTTCTTTAAATGGACTAAATTTGCATCAGAAAATTAGCAAATGAAGCTAAACTAACTTTCTAGGTGCCTGCTATGGTCATCTGAGAAGGCAGCAAGAACATGCCTCATGCACAGGACTAGGAAAGCTAAATGTGCTGTTTAGTTTAGCTGACAACAATCAAGGTAGTTTTCATACTGGCTGTTCCTTCAGAATTTCAGTGGACTTTTTCTAAACTGTCTGTTCACAGACGATACTGTATATTTTCGAAGCAGTCACTGAATTCGTACCAAATACAGATCTAGTATTTTAAGTAAAATACTTGACTGTTCACACAAAAGCATTATTCACATTTTTCTGCAGCCACTGTTAGACTCTAAGGATTTTTACCTAGTGCTCTCATTATCTTTTTATGTGTGTAACACAAAGAGCTGAGGCCCAGACTCTCTGCTGGCATTTGCCAGGTTAGCTCCACAGACCTTGCTAACTCTCATAATTCATGAGCTTTAAAGGCAATTTGTCTGCAGGAAGAAGTACAAGATCAAGATTCAGAAGAATCCAATTTTCAATTCTACCTTATGACCCCGTGGGCGGATCACTCCCTCACTGCTCCATTTTGTTCTCCCATCTCCAAAAGCAAATGATACCCACTAATTTGACAAAACAAGCACAAAATCAAATTTATACTGACAGGCCATGCTGAGCGGTTTTGCCTTAAACACCATTGTTCTAACATTTGAAAATACAAATATTTACCTTTCAAGCATGTCCCTAATTTCCCCAGAAGCATGTCTCCAAACCCATTTTATTTTAGAAGACAGGAACCGTATTTTCAGAAAGTGAATGGTTTTATTTTTCTGTCATTACAAAAATGCCTTTTAACTTGTCAAATGATACACTACAAATATCTTTGGCAGATGAATGAAACCAAGTTTCCTGTCATAGCTGCCAACTTCGAGGTTGAGATAATCAGATAAACCTTTAGTTTGCTTCTCCCAATACCTAAACTACATGTGTTTGAAGTGATCCACATCTGTCTTACTTTTCCTATTGGGATCTGAAAAGGCAAAGTGTCAGACCACTATGTGCCAAGTTCACAAAACTCTAGGTGTGGTCCACAGTTGTTACAGCCAATCTCTGTTCTCAGCTTTCCTCAGGTTTCCCCCATCCCAGGTTGAATAGTCCCCAGTAGCTCTGCTTGTCTAAAGGTAAACGCCAAGTTTATATAAATAGTATCCAGCATCACCCTCAACGCCTGCTGGATACAAAGCCTTATGATACAAAATACCTATTAGATTATGGGAAAATAGGAAGGAAGTTTGTTTCGCTTCTTTTATGTCAGCAGGAGCAGTAATACTGGATTTATGGAATTGGATTATTTCGTACTGGGGACACTTCAAAACTGAATATTTGCAGGGTACTTTATAACCGAGTGCACTGCCCCTTCAGTATAAGCCTGAATTCAAAAGCGGAAGCCATCCCTACAAACACACCTTTGACAAAGTTTGTGTCTTATGTAACTGTTTCTATTCATTTATTATCAGGATGTCAGTACGAATTGTTATTTTGATGATTCTTTGCCCCCATACTTCTGAAAGGGAAAGCAACTGTAAACACAAGGGAGACTGACCTCAGTGATTTCCTCTGTTCAGACAGGAGCACAATGCGCTCAAACACCAAGACAAGGAGAAGTGGACTGTTTAGAATTCCTCCAGCTGTAATCTATAGTAAAAACAAATAAACAAATACGTGACTACAAGATGCGATAATTAATCCCTGCATGAAGCCAACTGTTATCTCTGCTTCATAGATGGAGATACCAAAACATACAAAGGCTCAACAACCTACCAAGTTCAACACCAAGACTGAGAACCAAGACTACAGCTTGGGAGGCCATGTGCTCAGTCCATCAGATTTTTTTTTCCTTTTGTGATCATAAACCAGACACAGTTTGGCCAAGGGCAGGCTGAAATGCACCCATTCGGTGAGGGCAGCTGCACAAGAGTTAGCACCTACCACCTCCTGGGATTATCACTGCTGGTAGCTGAGCTGCTCCTGACTGGAGAGGCAGCTCCACTCAGCCTTACCCCAGCCAACCTGCCCCCAAAACACCCTACTCTCCCACACCTGCCCCTCTAAAGCTCCCACGTGCCCCAGGCCTCTCCACTGCTCTCACAATTCATCTCCCCACCAATGTCCAGGCCTCATCTGCCCCATTGCTGAGCCTCCCTTCTCTCTGCTCCCTCCCAGAGCCCCCAGCCAAGCTGCCCCATGCCTCTGCTCAGTCTCCCCATTCCCCCTCATGCCTGCTGTCCCCCCACAACCCTGCTGAGCTCCTACGGCCTCAGCAGCAGCCCACCACCATCAGGCCCCTCTCCCCCCTCAGGATCCCCAAAACCCTCTCCCCAAAACTCCCCTCGTCACCCCCAGGTGCCGGTTCCCTCCCATCCCTCAGTGACTCCTCACCCTAATTACCCCTCACACTGCCCAACCTGCCCCCTCAAACTGCCCCTCACGCCAAACCCCCTCCTCACACAACCCCCTGTGGCCGGCTGCCCCCTCCTCACAGAACCCTCACACCAACACCCCCCCTCAGTGTCCTCTCACACCAACAGCCCCTGACACCGACGCCCCCTCCCCACACAACCTCTCACAGCCGGCTGTCCCCCTCCTCACAGACCCCTCACACCAACGACCTCTTACATCAACGACCCCTCACAAGAACACCCCCCCCCTCACAATCCCCTCACACCAAAAGCCCCTGACACCACCAGCCCCTCCCCACAGAGCCCCTCACAGCCGGCTGCCCCCTTCTCAGTGATCCCTCACACCAACCCCAACAGCCCCTCCCGCCCCCGCGCCACAACTGCCCCTCCGCTGCCCGGCCCGGCCCCGCCCCTGCCCCCCCCACCGCCCCCCGCCCCTCCCGCCGGCCGCGGCGGTGCTGGTGGGGGGGGG